CCTTGCACGTTTGTGTGTGCATGTTCCCTTGATGATGACCTTATAAAAGGTTGAGATGTGCTGGCTATGTGGCAAATGTAATTTCTGTCTTTTGATAGTAATATTTTATTTAATCATACGTATTGCATTTCTTCTTAAACCGCACGTGATTCATAGAAGTTTTCTCATGAATTAAAGTCGTTCACATATTCTCCATATTATTTAGGACAACACAGAATTTCAAGACAACTGTCGCGCGAGGAATCCACTGAACTTTGAAAAAAAAACTCCCCTTACTAAGTCGTCTATCTTCTTTTCAAGCAGTAATGCCCCTTCCATTTATGTGTCAGTGCGATGGATCGCGTTACTTTAGCCGGCCTCAGTCAGCTCGACGCTGGACCGCACGAGTGTGCAGTTTCTCAGACAGACATCTCCTCTTCCTGCTTCGGGACAGAAGTCCGAAATATTAAATCCATACAAACGTAGAACTCGTCGGTCTCCAAAAAAACAATATACCTCGGTCTGATGTTACTTCTGGGGGACAACAAAATTATTGACTTCTACCTTTCGGTTTTAAAAAGTGAACACTAATTCGTCTTTCCGTCTTTACCTAAAACCGGAACGTGATTTACGTGTTGTTTTGTGCGCGCGTGAACTCGGATCCCTCACATTAATGAAAGAACACGGAGCTGCATTTTTTGAGCAGGGTTCTGAGAGGAGAAGTTAAAAGAGGCTCACACGATGACGAGTTCCATAATTTTTACTCATCGTAAATAATTATAATGATGAAACCGATAAGATGAGAAGAGCGAAACATGTAGCACGCATGGGGACAGAATTCTCGTTGCAAAATCTGTTGGAATAAACGTATCAGAAGACTAAGAGGTAGCCAGGATGATATTAAAATGGACTGCAAGAAGATACTGTGGGAGGGAGGGAGGGAACCGGACTCACATGGCTCGCGACATGGCCCTTGCAAGGATTTAAGTAGGTGGAAATGTTAATCCTTCCGTATAGAATGTCAAGGACGTCTTCTTCACCATCATCATTTATTTAAAATAATTCCTTCATCAGCGTAATGATCATAACAAATTATAAACAGGCTCCCTGCTGCCTGTCGCTTAGCGAGGCACTTCCTGTAAATTATTCTGGGTTGTAAACAATGTTATTCCCTAATTATACATTACATAAATAGCGAGCTTTCTTAAGTCCTGAGCGCCGTCCAGTTCACTTTGTTACAACTACATGGCAATTTATTTAAATGTTGTGTAAAGAAATTCGAGTATTACTACGTTAGTTTAATCAAGATATTTTCGGTGCATTTTTCTTATTAACTCTTCAATTAAAATTGCCTAAATATTACCCTGTAACTTATAATTTCTCCGTATGGAATGAAAAACAATTACAAAAATGTACGTGTGTCACACAGTTCGAACCCCTGGACTGTATTATGATTTATTCTGAGTTGCATTCAAGCTGTTTGGAGCAAGACGAATGAGATGAAGTTTACAACATCCCGTTGTTTGTACTAATTTGTTCCCCTACTAATGAATGTATCAGAACTACGAGGCGCGTTCCAAAAGTAAGTTTCCCTGGGGCCGTTTACAGAAACAAAACGCAATTTCATGGAAATATTTATTGCAACAGATACAGCAAGTGTCCAGCTATTTTTCAACATATTCGCCACCGGAATTGAGACATTGGTCATACCGTGGGACCAACTTTTGAATACCTGTGTCGTAGAAGTCTGCCGCCTGGGATTGGAACCACTGTGTGACAGCCATCTCCGCCTCTCTGTCATTCTCAAAACGCTGACGCTGACCGGACAGGAATTTCTTGAGGTGTAGGAAAAGATGGAAATCACTGGGAGCGAGGTCCGGGCTGTAGGGTGGATGATTAAACACCTCCCAGCTGAACTTCTGCAGGAGACTTGCTGTCCGTCGAGCCGTGTGCGGCCTAGCGTTATCACTGACCGCACTTCACAGTCGGCGGGAGCTGGAATAAGAACCTCCATCTTCAACAGCTGCAACGATGCTACTGTGAGAACGCGGGAGGTGCCGTTAGTGCATGCGCCATGCTACGTCATTGCTCTATCACGTATGCACAGTCGCTTCGCTCAATATAAGGTTTGCTAGCTGTGGGACGAGTGGGAAACTTACTTTTGGGACGCGCCTCGTACATATGGCCTATAAACTCTATTAGCTAATAAAATAATTAAAAATATATATCTTTAAACTTGGTTCAGTACGTATAAATCTTCCGGCAAGCCATAGATTCTGATACAATGAAGCCATTTTGAGCGATCGCATATTTCAGGACGGAATAATTTTCCGACTTTTCGGAAACTGCCTCCATCACGAGTGGCGCTTGTGATGGGTCGTCCAACTTTCCTCTGTATCGGAGGCGGTCCAATCGATAGGAAGACAGCGCCAGTTGCCACGCGTTCAAGAGCTTCAGTCTCTCGTCTTGAATTAGCTACTGCGAGAGAGTTTAAACTGAATTCTAATAACTTGTTTTGGCAGACTCGGCATACAGTTTCCTGTAATGCTCCTGTTCGTATTTCATTTCATTTAAACAAAAAGACGCTTTTAGAACTTGCTGTATTTAAATTAAACTTTTTCAAGACTTTTTTTATTAGTTCAGCTGCAAACTGAGGGCAAACCACAGGCTGCAACCCGGAAGAATATCTCCTTGGCAACGCTCCAGCATTCAGGATTCCTATGGAACTGCAGTTTAAACATTTTCAAATTCCTAAACTATTGTAGTCAGAACCGAGACGGAAAGGGATGTCAGGTTGTCGACCAAAAATAGCTTTCTTTTATTTTTGGCTCAAGTATGTTAAATCCCTTTGTGTAGGCAATCCTTCCATGTAGAACGAGATACGAGGAATGCACAATGAACAGATTCAACGTCAGTCTGCACTTCTGAGTTTCGAAATCATTTACATTTGTATGCCGTAACCGTCACCAACCTCTTCTTGTAGGCTTCCCTCTGGTTCGCGTAGGCACTACTGTCCGTATTTTACATTAATCTTAGATCAAACTTTCGCAGGCACAATGGGAAATACTCTTGACACATAATATGAACCTACAAGCTTTGTTGATCTTAGCTAAATACCAACAAATGTAAAGGAAATGAGATTCTTGATTACGCACTGATCTAAGCGGCGAGGAACTTCTACTCTGAGTCTCGGTATCGCCTCTGTCTGAATTTCCGAAAGCAAATGGATTAATTTTCAGTCCAGAAGGTTTTTTGCACAAATTCCTAAACCAGAAAGAATCCCCTTTCCTGTAATTCTGTTGTAACGAGCTGCATCCTTGCTTCAATCTACACTCTACGTCTAGCGTCCTTCGACGCATACCTCATTACATCTTACCATCACGACGTCCGAGACAAGAGGTCGATCGATCTCGGCCAGTGATACAGCTTCTACGGGTTGCCAAGCGCCGTGCTACTGATCCCAACGCTGGATAATAAAATCTGTGCTTCATCTTTTATTGTATTGAAATGCAAATCAACAATTTATTTCCAATTTTAAAACTCGGGATTACGCAAACCATTTCTGTAATTAATTTTCCTCAAGTCTAAACAAATAGATTAAATCAATTAGTACATCCTGTCTCAAAAGTATATTCACTTCGAATGCATTCACTAATGTGACCTGAAGAGGCAGCGCTGATCAGGAGGTGGAGGCATAGTCTTGCCCTCAGGACCACGTCCAGTCCCACCCGCCCGTCACTCTCGTCCGCAGATCCTTAAAACGAAGATCGTGCAGACGAGGGCCTGTGGCCGGAACTGCCGGTTCGTTTGATGTAGGTCCCGTGAACGAATGTCGACCGGACGACAAGAATCCGGTACGAGGGATTTCGTGGTTTTCGTCAGTCCCTTCAAATAAATGCTAGAATAGTGCCTATATAAGTAAGAGTCACTTGCCCCAGTCATGGGCTCGGCGCAGATACTGCGCACACTGAATGACACATGCGCCCTTAAATATTTGCTTTTACGTTACCAACGACCGACATAACTTTATTAATCTATAAACCATGCAGACGTATCGCAATGTTTTTAATTAATTAAATAAACTCGTGCACTTGTTGACTCTTGCTGAGAAATGAAAACTTCGACAATTCATGTGTGAGTACTGTCTGTCTGGGCGGAGAAATGACTCGACACACCCCTCTGCTCAGACGAACAATCGTTCTAATATTCAGGAAACAAACATCGGCTGACCCTCAGTTCTCCATCGGTTATTAGCTCTCTATAATTGCGCCTCAGTCTTGTACTTTTGTATTCCATAGTTAATACAGAGCTTATTGAATTATTCGGGTCACTGATTAACGCACCCACAGTACCAAATACGCAGACTGCTCCAAGAGTGTTAACAATTTTTATAAAGCGCGATGTTTTTAGGACAGCATTTAGCATGACGTCACAGCTTCACGGTCTAGTTAGTAGGCAAAAGTAACTAGAAGCTTGTTAGTACAATGATAAATCTAGCCTTAATAACATTAGACTGCATTTATTTCTGTAGATTATTATGTACGAAACGCCCTGATGATGGAGGCAGGAGGAAGCTCAGAAAGTCGGTAAATTTCTACCAGACTGCATTGCGCAAAATCCTAAAGGAGAGCCTCTTCATAATCTCCGCCATGAGAACCTGAAATATCACATGTAATTATGACTCCGTCTGTCTGTCCGTTTGACTGGACTCGATAACCGCTAGACGGATTTTTATTAAATTTGGTGTGGACGTTATGACATTGGTCTACCCTGAAACCGGTGTAATTTTGTACAATATGTAATACCAACATAGCAGACAAAGAACTTTTCCAATAAAATTAAATCTGCAGACAGAAAGTGTTGCACTTGTGACGCCCAAAATTATTCTCCACTGTACATCGCCATGCACTTCGCAAAACTGCATTCTTAACGTCGAAGTGGCTACAGTTTAAGTGCGCATGTGCATATCCCTGCGTGACCACAGGTAATACCAACATGACGCACGTTTCTTCTCGTTGCAGGTACATGGCAATTGTTCGACCGCTCCAGCACAGAATGTCAAGGCGAAGAGCGAGGCTTGCTCTGGCTGTCATCTGGCTGGCCAGCGGACTCCTCGCGGTGCCTTGCTTGCTGTACTCCACCACCATGACGAAGAGGTAAGCCCACCTCTTGTTAGTGCTTCCGGTTAACTCTAAATTGTGTTGTTACATTGCAACAGCATCTGATACAGTAGCAGATGGGACAAAGCGACAGACAGGAAATCTCAAAACTAAAATATTCTAAGATGATATAATTGCGTCATATTGTGATACCATATATTAATTAATTATTCGGTTTTGGTCCGTCTAATCACAATTCAAATTTTAATTTTTTTTTATAATTAAGATAATTAAAATATAATTTGATGTTCCTCATCGAACAATCGATTTACATTTGGAACATCTTTTTACAACATGTTTCGGTTTATTTGGTATGTTCAATTTTACTTTTCAATATATTATTTTGTTTTTATATTCTTTCATATTCATTAATATTTCTTTAAATCATTTGCATTACAGGCCGATGTAGAACATCAAACATTCACTCCAAAAACATTCACTCCAATATGTAAAAATGAATCTGGAAGTGAACATCACCAAAAAGTTGCATATCAGATATTGTAATTAGGTTTTAAGTTTATAATTTTAACTTTTACACCTGAAGATGGTTTATATAGAAACCGAAACATGTTGTAAAAAGATGTTCCAAATGTAAATCGATTGTTCGATGAGGAACATTAAATGATATTTTAATTAACTTAACTGTAAATTTTTAAATTTGAATTGTGATTAGACGGACCAAAACCGAATAATTAATTAATAAAATATTCTATGAAGAATTTGTGTAATTTCTTTCTCCAAAACCGATCATTCGCAAATACCACTGTTATTTGGTACAGGCAAACAGAAATAATATACACGAACGTGTTGATATTCGTGCAACTTCAGTGTCTCGTAACGAGTCTGATACAAATTTATCAAAATTGTTAAAACTCTACGCGTAAAATCTTATTACGGCCTTTAAGTATATTGGTCACTAATATGAATTAAAATTAATGAACCCTACATATGTTAACACGTGCAGGACTACACTAGACATTACATCGCAACCGACCAGTTTTACTAATTTGTGGTTTACTTTTACGATGCCGTTCCTGCCCCATACCGTATAGTTTCACCAATGAGCTGGAAGTGCGGGATCAAAGATTCGAATCCAGGGTGTGGCATTAATAATCATTTTAATAATCCTGATCAGAATATGGCTGTCTCCTGGGTTGTTTCGCCGTGAAGTCTGGTAGATTTTCCTGCCTCCATCATCAGGACGATCGCCCTGATGATGGAAGCAGCAAGGACCTCTGAAACGTCGGTAAGACCTTGCAACTTAGAAGACGGCAGTCTTCAGACTCACCGCCGTGAAAACCTCAAATCCTACAATCCTGCTCTGTCTTACAATAGAAAAGACACACCGTGACTTAATTCCTCAGCGAGAACCAACGACATTACAATATTTTATTTATTTATTTAGTGTTTTGTCTGACGACAGGTCCATATGAACAGGATCCTTCCATCCTTTTCTCGGACTGGGACCTGTTCATATACGTTCTTGGCAGATGATCCAGAAGTGGTTTGCCATTGCCATCTTCTGTGTGTGAATGGGATGCCACGGAGAAACCGGGGAAGCCCCCGGAGGAAAACCCCGTGTTGCCTA